AAACTCGTCAAAGCACACGTTGGGTTACCCCATCACCTAACAACGATGATGGCGGTCCCCACCCGTGAAATACACAACCTAACCAATATTGGGCGACGATGGCGCTCATGAGCCCACGTCCCCACAAACAGTAAGAGAAAGAGAGAGAGAGGAGGAGATGGGCCAATGTGCGGTCCCTCGCCCAATGTCTTATGCCTCGCTGGGGCAAAGAGAAGAGAAGAGGAGCGGATAAGGGAGGAGATTGGCCAACGTGCGGTCCCTCGCCCAATGTCGGCTGCCTCGCTGGAGCTGGGTAAAGAGGAGAGGAGCGGATAAGGGAGGAGACTGGCACACACGGTGGCGCTGCCGGCGCCGAGGATAGCAAGAGAAGGTGCAGTTTGATCTGATCATCTGGTTTGCTATTTCTCTAAGGCCAACGTGCGGTCCCTCGCCCAATGTCGGCTGCCTCGCTGGGGCAAAGAGAAGAGGAGAGGATAAGGGAGGAGATTGGCACACACGGTGGCGCTGCCGGTGCCGAGGATAGCGAGAGAAGGTGCAGTTTGATCTGATCATCTGGTTTGCTATTTCTCTAAGGCCAACGTGCGGTCCCTCGCCCAATGTCTTCTGCCTCGCTGGGGCAAAGAGAAGAGGAGCGGATAAGGGAGGAGATTCGCCAACGTGCGGTCCCTCGCCCAATGTCGGCTGCCTCGCTGGAGCTGGGGCAAAGAGGAGCGGATAAGGGAGGAGATTGGCACACACGGTGGCGCTGCCGGCGCCGAGGTTAGCAAGAGAAGGTGCAGTTAGATCTGATCATCTGGTTTGCTATTTCTCTAAGGCCAACGTGCGGTCCCTCGCCCAATGTCTTCTGCCTCTCTCTCAATCTCACTATTTTGGCCGCCGTGATAGGCGCCGCCATCAGCAGCAGCTACCTGGTTGATCCTGCCAGTAGTCATATGCTTGTCTCAAAGATTAAGCCATGCATGTGTAAGTACAAGCCGATTTAAGGCGAAACCGCGAATGGCTCATTAAATCAGCTATGTTTCATTGGATCTGTAAACCCACTTACTTGGATAACTGTGGCAATTCTAGAGCTAATACATGCAATTGGTCTCTGACCGCAAGGGAAGAGCGCTTTTATTAGTTCAAAACTGGTCGGGCCCCGGTCCGTAACCCACCTGTGGTGAATCTGAATAACTTCGGGCTGAGCGCACGGTCTCCGCACCGGCGCCGCTTCTTTCAAGTGTCTGCCTTATCAGCTTTCGATTGTAGGTTATGCGCCTACAATGGTTATAACGGGTAACGGGGAATCAGGGTTCGATTCCGGAGAGGGAGCTCTGGAGAAACGGCGCACTACATCTAAGGAAGGCAGCAGGCACGCAATTACCCACTCCTGCACGGAGGTAGTGACGAAAATAACGATAGAAATTTCATCCGAAATTTCGCAATCGGAATGAGTATTAATTTTAAACTTTAACGAGCATCCATTGGCGCGCAAGTCTGCGCCAGCAGCCGCCGTAATTCCAGCCCATTAGCGATATTGTTGTTAGCGGTTAAAAAGCTCGTAGTTGGATCTCAGTTCGAACTGACGGTGCACCAGCCATTGTCACGCCCGAACAAAGCCGGCTTCGCTGCTCGCGCACGGGATGTTTTAATGAAAGGTCTGAAAGTGGCCGGAGAGTTTACTTTGAAAAATTAGAGTGCTCAGAGTGGCTATTTGAATGGCCCGAATGGTGATGCATGGAATACAGAATTCTCGGTTCTATTTTGTTGGTTTCGGAACCAGAGGTACGACTAATCGGAACAGGCGGGGGTATTCAGAGATGGCGACAGCCAGAGGTGAAATTTCTTGGACCGCCGTGAAGACTTAACTACTGGCAGTATATTTGCCGGCGATGTTTTCATTAATCAAGAACGAAAAGGAGGTCTGGCGCTTATCAGATACCGCTTCCAGTTCTTGCAACTTATGGAACGATGCTAACTAGCTTATCCATCATGCTATTCCTCCCATGACCCGGCGGGCAGCTTCCGGGAAACCAAAGTCTTTGGGTTCCGGGGAAGTATGGTTGCAAAGCTGAAACTTAAAGGAATTGACGGAAGGGCACCACCAGGAGTGGAGCCTGCGGCTTAATTTGACTCAACACGGGAAACCTCACCAGGCCCAGACACCGGAAGGATTGACAGATTGAGAGCTCTTTCTCGATTCGGTGGGTGGTGGTGCATGGCCGCTCTTAGTTGGTGGAGCGATTTGTCTGCTAATTCGATAACGAACGCAGACTCTGGTCACTAAGTAGCTTCCATCGATCTCCAGAAAAATGGCAGGTCCAGTTCGCAACTTCTTCTTAGAGGGACATGCACCCAGCCGCATCGAGATTGAGCGCAATAACAGGCCCAGATGCCTCTTTAGATGTTCTACCGCACGCTGCCGCCACACTGAAGGGATCAACGAGTTTTCTCCGAGAGTGCGAGCGTAACCTGTTCAAAGCCTTTCTTTGATAGGGATCAGCTTGCAATTGTTTCTGCGAACGCAGGAATTCCCAGTAAGTGCAAGTCATCAGCTTGCGCTGACTACGTCCCTGCCCTTTGTACACACCGCCCGTCGCTACTACCGATTGAATGATTTAGTGAGGCCTTCGGACTGGCGCTCTTGGATTGTCGGCCCCGTTGCCCGCGAGGGTTTTCTGGGGTCGTCGCCTCGAGCTGACGGAAAGATGTCCAAACTTGATCATTTAGAGGAAGTAAAAGTCGTAACAAGGTTTCCGTAGGTGAACCTGCGGAAGGATCATTAACAGAGAGAAAGAGAACGGGGCGCTCTTAAAACTACTACTACTACTCTCCTGATTTGGGCGGTCTCGGGCTCTGCTCTGGCAACTCCAGCAGCGAAAGAGGACAATCCCGGCCCCCGCACCAAAAATAGGTACCACCACGCTGTAGGTGGACCACACTCCGGCGAGAGCGCGAAGACCGGAGGAGGAGGACGGACGGGGCTTTGGACGGCTGCCCGTCCGTTCCTTACTACCGGCGAATAAGCCTCTTGACCCAAAAAGAGTGAAATTCAAGTGTCAAAAAACAACAACAAGTCGTCCGGCCAAACCCAAACCACAAACTTGGGCTATGTCTGTCAAACCCTTTCATTGAGACTCGACCTGTGATGGTTAGTCGCAAAAAGACCAAATGGCAAATACACAACTCTTAACGGGGGATCACTCGGCTCGTGGGTCGATGAAGACCGCAGCAAACTGCGGGTCGGTATGTGAATCGCAAGAATACCAGATACATCGGCCAGTTGAACGTGATATGCTGCGCGGCGTTACATGAGCTTGTCGCCGCCACTTCACGAAATGGAAACATACATCCATCGCTGCCGCGGTTCGTGCTCATGACTGTCTCCCATTACCCAGGGTAACCCGAACCGAAGCCCGCTTTGTTTAATTGCCCGCGTTTTGCGCGAGGCGTGTGCTCTTAAAAACAAGTGTTTATCACTAGTAAGTCCATGACTTGGCGCACCCACATTCAACCACAACAAAGCGACAGTTGTCGCCCTCGCGAATAACTGGAGGCGGCGCTCTTTTGCCTGCTGTCCACAGAGACACGAATGGCCGTCGGCCGCTCATGGCTGATGCTGCACATGTTCTAAGAGGCACTCCATCCCACGAAGAGGAAACGAAACCGGTCGGATATCTTTTAAGTAAGCCCCGCCGGAATTTCGTCTATCACCTCGAAAAGAGTGCTTGGCATGCATTGCAGTGGAACCTAAATTGATGAGTGCGCCTGGGCCCGCAGTCTACCATGTAGTGGTGCAGGCAGAGAGATGAGAATGCTTGGGTGACGCCGTGCTCTTCCTCACGCGCTCCTCCACCCTCTCCCACGGTCAGACGCGGTGTGGGCGTTCTCTTTGAGAGTTCGCCACGAGTCCACGTCTATCTCATGACTGGGAGGGAGGCAGGGGAGTTCTCTCTAAACGCGTTAAAGACGGTGTTGCGCCTCATAACGGCGCTCGCCGGGATAGAGCACTAGTTCTGCAGCCGGAAAGGCCGCTCACGCCAATTAATACTGCGACTCTCGCTCTCTTTCTCCGGATAAACAAGTGCCACTGCTGTGGCATGCGGGAACGGGAAAAGAGGTCAAAGTTTAAGCGGCAAAGGTGCGGCCGAGTAAGGGCGGAACACGAGCGTATATGCATTAAAACTGTGTGTGTATATGACTCTGCGAGAGATGTTCTGCTGGAACACTTTTCCTATTGGCTATTTACCACTCAATGAGAAGGAACGGAGTCAGGGGTGGAGTGCCGGCGCCATGGCCGCTGGTACCCCCGCGACAAGCCCCTCAAACCTTCCTGCCTGGTAATGTCGGTGGTGAAGAAAGTCGGTGGCAGAGCGTCTTCCGCTTCGTGGTTGGGGAACTTGTTCCCCCTAAGGATGATGAGACCACGATCGACCTCGTAGTAGGAGAGAGCTACCCGCCAAATTTAAGCATATTAATAAGCGGAGGAAAAGAAACCAACAGGGATTCCCTTAGTAAGGGCGACTGAACCGGGAAAAGCCCAGCGCATAACCTCGATGTCTTCGGGCACGAGGGGTGTTGCGTTTCAGAGGGTCCAGCACGCCGCCCCATACCGTCTAAGTCAAGCTTGAAAGCGGCCACTGCCCATGGAGGGTGACAGGCCCGTATGGCGGCGCCCGGAGGGTACAGATGGGACGGTCGGAAAGGGCCTCTGTAGAGTCGGGTTGTTTGAAAGTGCAGCCCAAAAGCAGGTGGTAAACTCCATCTAAGGCTAAATATGACCACGACCGATAGCTAACAAGCACCGGAGGGAAAAAGTTGAAAAGAACTAAAGAGAGTTCAAGAGTACGAAACCGTTGGTTGTTTCAAAACGGGTGGAAACCCGAAGGTCGAATCCGAGGGGATTCAGCTCGTCGGCTGTCGGCTGGGTGGGTGTTGCACTGAGCGACCCAAAATGTTTGGGCGCCGCTTCACTCACGCCTGGCGTCGGCGGCGTATTTCGCCTCGTGAGTAGGTCACCG